ACTAAAGCTTGTAGAGAGCTGAAAATTTACGTTTGTACTTCTACAGGTTTGTAGTATGCAACTACTTATGTGGGGGCGGCATAGCACCATTTTGGCAAATGCATGAAAATCTCCGTTTTCTTGATTTCTAACAGAGAAAAAAATACGGCAACGGCGTATATGGATGTCTTATGTGGATTTGGTTTACGTGAGCAAGTTAGAATTTCTGCAGGATTATTATGAACTGAGTTACGATTTTTCTCAATTTTTCAGGCAGTTGAATCTTTTCAGTTTCTGGCTCGAAACTCGTGGTGGATCAAAACTGTTGCTAAAGCAAGATCGCCGCCTTGTAGAGCTTGCTTTGCTCTATTGAATGGTACCTTGCAACCTATTTAGAAATGAGAAGTGTATGTTTTACTGCGGTTGAAATTCAAAACCTGCATTAATTTCCGGACAACCTAATAAAATATAATATATTAGGTCGTTCCGAAAGTAATTTCGTTTTTCCAAACGGACGCCACATGTGACAGAACAAAGATTTCTAAGAGATCTTGGTGGCATTCGATGCAATAATTCATTCTCTTTTTAACAGTAGTAAAATCTTTGCAGCTCGTCAGGCTTTCGAAAATAACCAAAACCTGCGACCCATGCTTTTTGAGGTGGTCAAGTTTCACAATTTTTCAAATTTCATATCAACCCTCGGAAGGAGTTCAAGTAACGATTAGGTAGAGCAAACCTTATAGAATACAGTACAATTTTCTCTCTTTTCCATAGCTCGCCGTAATTTTTTAAAAGATTTTTTACCATAACCATCCGATTTTGGCAGGCCTACGTCAGCCACAATCGCATCAAACATCAGTAATTACTCGGAATTTGAAGCTTCCAAGATGATATATGACTTAGTATTGATTTTATGAAGCAAATGAGAGCTTACGGATTCGAAATACTGAACTTCGAGTTTTTCGGGTAGAGCCTTGAGTGCGTTCAAGAAGAACGTGTGTTATGACGATTTTATCCCCGAAGAAATCGGAAACAAAAAACACCTCATAGAAAGAGGAGAAAAAGCTGCATCAAACAGCAGCCGAGCTGCTCTCTCATTGATGTTCTACGAGATTTGAGTTGACCAAGTATGAAAATTGGTAGCATCAGTTAAAATTTTATTAAAAATTATGAGGAGATATGTGAAGGAGAAAAAAATATTGTATCCTGTAGGGTTTGCTCTATCTAATCGTTACTTAAACCCAGAGGTGCGATAGGTGGAGCCGGGCACCCCAAAAGTGAAGGTGGTTCCAGCTACAACTGGCCGGCCAAAAGTGAAGGTGGTAGTGCCGGACACTCACCTCTCAAAAACGTCGACCGGGGGGGGGGGAGGACTTCGGATATTTGAAGTCTGACCCGACGGTCTCCTTGAGGGCCAACAAGTGTGACCTAAGGCCCTCTTTAGGGCCACAAATAGGATGAGTACAGCGGCATAAAAATAAAAAAAAAAGAAATAAACGTGTTATTCAAATGGTCTATTTGTAAGTAAAACCTAGTTAGACCTTACGTATTTTATTAAGTAAATTTTGTTGTAACGTACTGCGAATAAAGTAGGTCGATCCAGGCAGTAAGCACCGAGAACCAGAATTTCGAATAATGAGATAGCGAAAAATCATGCGAAATTTCCACTGTCATATATCTGGTAGTTGAAGATGTCAGCAATTGCGACTTTATAGGTTTTGAAGACCAAGTGTTATTCTACCAGATAGTGAAAAAATCGAGTCGATTTGAGCAGTGGCCGCCGAGAACGAGAATTTTGAAAAATTAAGCGATTTTAGGTTGCTTAGTGACAGCTGACGTTTAAACTCCTACAAATCTGGGAAGGTTTGCAATGTTGCGACTTCATAGGTTTTGTAGAGCAAGAATTTCTCTATCGGAGTATATCTTAGCCGTACCGATCCATTGAGATACCGCCGAGAACCAGGGTCTTGAAAAAGCAGGTAAAAATCCGCTTTTTGAACTTCAACAGCTCATAACTTCTTGAATTGCACGAATCATGTTGCGACTTCATAGGTTAGATTCTTCTCATCAAGAGCTTTCAGATGATATATAATATGTGGGGGTTTCGCGCCTTTCACGGCATATGCCCGGGGTGGAGACTTTTCACCCCAAAGTCTCCACTGGCGGTCTCCGGCCAATACATTAAAATGGGCGAGGTGGAGACTTTGGGGTGAAAAGACTCCACCCTGGGTTAGAGCCGCAAAAATCATTGGACCCCCCACATATTATATATCATCTGAAAGCTCTTGATGAGAAGAATCCAACCTATGAAGTCGCAACATGATTCATGCAGTTCTGAAGAAGTTATGAGCTGTTGAATTTCAAAAAGCGGTTTTTTACCTGCTTTTTCAAGACTTTGGATCTCGGCACTGTTTCAGTAAATCGGTACGGCTAAGACCAAGTCCGATAGAGAAATTCTTGCTTTACAAAACCTATGAAGTCGCAACATTGCACACCTTCACATTCCAGGTTTATAGGAGTTTTAACGTCAGCTGTCACTAAGCAACCTAAAATCGCTTAATCTTTAAAAATTCTCGTTCTTGGCGGCCACTCCTCAAATCGACTCGATTCTTTCACTATCTGGTAGAACAACACTTGCTCTTCAAAACCTATGAAGTCGCAAATGCTGACATCTTCAACCACCAGATTTATAACAGTGGAAATTTCGCATGATTTTTCGCTACTTTGTCATTCGAAATACTGGTTCTCTGCGGTTACTGCCTAGAATGACCTACCACATGGATATATGCTCTCAATACTTTCTTTTGCGTTCCTTTTGCTCATTTTCCTTCTTTTACCCTTCAGCAAGAATTTTTTTTCAAACCCAAAAGTGAAGGTGGTCACCCGCACCAGCTCAAAAGTGAAGGTAGGCGGAGACTAGGCTTCAACTATCGCACCTCTGATCCATACGCCCCCCCCCTCAACCTAGCCAAAATTGGCATGGCGGGAGTCACGAGGGTATTGCGTCGCGTCTACGGTTAGCTAGCCTGCCCTCTCCTGGGTGGGGCTAACCGGGACAGACTGTACCTTTAGGCACGTCGTCGCCTCATTTTTGAAACTGCGCCAAAGCAATGACTCGTCCATCTGAAGTTTTTGGAATCAGTGAGATGACTGGGAAGAATTATAGTAGGTTAATTCAGTTTAGGCGGAAATTGGACTGGCGGGAGTCCGCTTCGCAACGATTCGCGCCGCTTTGCAGTCTGCGTCTCTTCATTCTGATCTATCTCGGCCAGTGGCGGTGCGGAAGCGGCATATTCTTATCTCGTTCAATTCAATGGAACGTCTAATTCTTACAAATTTTAACTGTGGCCCATTTGCCGATATCGTTGCTGCTGTAAAAATCATATTCAGAGACATAAAAATTGAGGGCAGAAGAAGACTGCGATTGCTAGTGCAAATCTCCGATCAGAAAGAGGAAAGCGCTCAATTCACAAAAGAAGCACTCGAAGCAAATTGCTTTAAAGGCAGCGGCTCGGCAGATTGACCTACCTCAGATTTTCAAACAGATGGATAGGAGGCCCTCCAAGTGAACCAAAACAGCAACTCCGCACCGAAAATGTGAACTCCGCAAGCCAGGAGGGCGGCCCAAGTGCCGCTCCCCTTCCTCCCTTCGCTCCCCTAACACCTTGTTCGGACGAGTATTCTCCGCTAGACGGCGTGGGACCCCCCAACCGCTTCCCCGCATTGTGCATGCTATACAAAGCCAAAATTACAGGCAGCAGGGTCTTCGTGCCAGAGCCTCCCGACTTTCCTTTAAAAAATTCTCGTCCGAGCTGCCTTTTGGAAATTGAGAAAACGCCCGAAAAAGGCCTTTTCACCTCTTTTAAAGCTCAGATTCGGGATCTACGGGTCGAGAAGGCCCAAAACATGCAAAAAGACGGAAATGCAAAATCTGCCGAGCCGCTGCCTTTAAGGAGTTCGGCAGGTAATCGAAACGAATCACGACAAGCAAAAGTTCCACACGATGAATAAAGATCGCACCAAGTTAAATACTTGATGCTACACATTGAAACTACAGGAGAACTCTAGTATCTAGCAGTTTCTCACACTAGACTTTGCTCAAGTTCGTGGTGGCTGTCGCGCTCGGCGGCAACCGCGCGTCGCTGTTGCGATGGACGTATTCGAGGCGCACAGCTATTTCCTCCGGCTCACTTCGCACTCGGTCACGCTTTTCGCCTTGGAGCGCGGCAAGCTCTTTGAACTTAAGTCCATTAACTATCACATCACAATCACTCTCCACCGATTAACTGCGCCATCATTGTTGGTGTTACAGAGTGAGACTTCCGCAGGACCTTGGGGTTTCACAGCACTTTGCGATAACCTTTAATTTCCGTTCCTTCTATTATACATCAAACTTTATTTCGAGATACTAACTTTCTCCTTTTGATTGAGCCATTTTTGCATAAAATTCCTTTCGAGATGCTAAGTTGAAACGCAGGCAGCGCGTGTTTTTACCCAAAAAGCAGATTTCGCAGTGTATTGTTCTATGCAAAAGCACCAATTGAGTATACACAAAGTCTAGCCGCTTTGGCGATTGGTGTAGTGTCTCTGCGTTGACGACAACATTTGTGCGTTAAGTGGCAGTGTGCATTCCGACAATTTTCAACCTGCAAGTCAAAAGCTCTTCCCAACTCAGAGGTTTTTTCTCTTCGAGTTTCGCAGATGATCTGAGGCTGTTAACAGCTAAGGGGTTTGCTAATCTACTCTAAAAAAGCAACCCACCCATTGCATTCAGAGAAACCTCGTAAATCCTTATAGAGATTTTTCTCAATCACAGGAGATATGCAGTAGATTACCTGGGAGATACTCTGACATCATCGTTGCTTAAAACTTGTTGCTGTCACCTCGCAGAAGTTCCCGCTTTAACAATGTATCTCGCACCCCTGTGAGTTTTTCGCATCCCCAAAAGGATCTCCCCAGTTTTTTGATTATGACTTTTTTTCGCATAGATACCCAGTACCCGCACGCTCTTTATCATCAACGGTCAATCAATTTACCTGGACTCATCACTAGTACATTAGCTATGATGAGAAAACTAAACAATTTGCTAGTATTTTGCAGAAGCAAGAAAGAATACTATACAAGCGATTTAAATGAAGTAAACGACATTCATTTTCAGCAAATGTTTTCAGGACAGCGTTAAACAGCACATTCATTCGAATAACTACTGAATACAATTTCACCAAGTCATTAGTATCTAAAGATCACAATCAAAGCATAGTATCGCCAAATGATTCGAGAGAAAATAAGAAAAAAACGAGAAGATTTGAGAATGACTCTAGCTTTGTGCACATTGCACCTGAGGCCCGTGATGACCACCCATTTCTTCATCCGATCCGTCTTCTTCATAAGCTTGTCCTCCTCCTCTGCCGCCACGATACCGCTTCTCATCGTATTCCATCAAAGACACCTAAACTCCATTATGGTAGCTTGACAAAAATGGAGGCATATGCGACATAATCAGTATTTGGCAAAAACAAATAAAGATTTCCACTGCCGCAAAAGTAGGTGTGCTTGGTGATCATACATAACAATAAGAACCACATACCTCTTCACAATTCGACGGATATGCAACTTTCCTGAGTGGTGGGAATGCGGTTTCAATCTTCTAAAAGCATTACATTCATGCAAACAAAACTCAAAATGCTGAACCGAGTCTCAGGACAAACCTTGTACTTCGTGTCGTCTTCCAAAAAGTGATCATTTGGGAAGACTACATCAAACTTTACATAAAGATTTCCACGAAGATCATGATGTCGCCTTTGCGGCATACCTTCTCCGATTATACCACGAAACAATCTGAACAAATGAAAACATCATGTATAAGATGCTGTTAACAAATGAATTTCTTTCAGAACAATGCCAAACCTGGGGTTATGATGTCTCCTGGCTTATTCTTCAAAATCAAAGTACGGCCGTCAAGATGTTCCAATGGGATTTTATACCCGCATAGAGCTTCGTTCAGCGATATAGTTCTTAAAAAATGTTTTTAGAAATGAAACAACGATCATAATCCAAAAATGTTACCAAGGAGTTCGCCCGAGAACATTTTGATTACTTACTTTTTCGCAATGAGATCATCGCCCTCCCTTTCAAATACGTCAGGTGGTTTCACTTGTATAACAATAACAACATCACCCGTCAATGTCTGGCTGAAACAAGGAAGATGAACCGTGAACGAATTTGTGGAAAAAACTGATAATGAGAGATTTTTTCGAGATTATAACATCACTCACGTCAGACTGATCTCCTTCACGAGGGAATGTGGCCTTGTCATTGTGCTCCACTCCTGGTTCTACGTGAACCTAGATACAAGTCGATGAAAATAATAATACAAGTTGAAACACTTGCATCGCTCAATACCTCAAGTATCTTCTCTACTTCCTCGCTTTTCTCTCCTTTACAGTGAGATCGGTCGGACTCTGGGATTCTAGTACCTGCAAAGAAACAATTAAGAGTGTATATGGTACCCACACGATCGAAAACTGTTCTGATTTGGATGCACCACATTCAGACTGTTTGTTGAAACTCGCCTTCGCCGCGGCAATCAGGACATCTGACTTGCATTTGTTGAATCATTCCTGGACCAATTTGTTGCACAGCATTCTTGACTCCACGACCACGGCAAGAGTGACACTCGTATGACTGACTAGTTTAGGTCGTGGATGTAATGATTGTGATGTGATAGTTAATGGACCCAAGTTCAAAGAGCTTGCCGCGCTCCAAGGCGAAACGTGACCGAGTGCGAAGTGAGCCGGAGGAAATAGCTGTGCGCCTCGAATACGTCCATCGCAACAGCGACGCGCGGTTGCCGCCGAGCGCGACAGCCACCACGAACTTGAGCAAAGTCTAGTGTGAGAAACTGCTAGATACTAGAGTTCTCCTGTAGTTTCAATGTGTAGCATCAAGTATTTAACTTGGTGCGATCTTTATTCATCGTGTGGAACTTTTGCTTGTCGTGATTCGTTTCGATTACCTGCCGAACTCCTTAAAGGCAGCGGCTCGGCAGATTTTGCATTTCCGTCTTTTTGCATGTTTTGGGCCTTCTCGACCCGTAGATCCCGAATCTGAGCTTTAAAAGAGGTGAAAAGGCGATCTGAACGATCCCAAATAGCTGTGCGCCTCGAATACGTCGTTGCGATGCCGATCATAATAGGCTTGTGCGTTTTGAATTCGTCTCGGCTGGTTTTCAAATTACTGATGTGTTGGTGGTTGAGTCTCAATATTTTGATGTTCTCATTTACTATGCCTCTTTGCCTCGAGGAAATCATTTGAAACAAGAAGCAAACGAGCATGATGAGCCTTCATTTTGTATTGTTTACGAGTACTTGGCTGTTCCTTACATTTCAAATTCAGGAAATGAGCAAGTCAGTCGCACTCGTTACGCAGCAGCTCGCTAGGATTTGTTTATCTCGAGGAATGCACAGTAGGTTTTTTTTTTATCGGTAACTGTTTTACATTTCTAATAACTTCTGATACCATGATTACCCGATAAATTGAGAAAAAGCGTAAGCTGTACCTTTTGGGGTCGGAGATCTCCTTGGAAAGTCTTTTTGTAAAGCATTCTTTTTGTGAAGTTCTTTTGAAGTCTTTCACGTTTCAAGTGAGCATCAAAGCAAAGACTGGCTTTGAAAAAACACTTTTGCCATCTGATTAGGTTCTGGATTGCCACGCTGCTTCTCGCGTTCATCATCAATTAGATGAAACAAGAGAGAAATTTGTGGCTTAAAGGCTTTATTTTTGGAAATGGAGACGATAATGAATCGAAGTCTTTCTTTCTAACACGGGCTGATATTATTTGTGGATTTGGGAATTCTGAATGTATACTTTTAGGTTTTCATGCCCCGTCAACATCGAGCGTTTCTCTACCCATCATAGAAAGAAAGATCATAAGCCCAGGTAAGCAATTTATGTTCAGATTTCGTATGCATTCACTTATGTCATCCATATTTTGATGGTGCTCACGTTTTTTCCCTATTTTCAGACTCAGGCGAGAGTTCGGATACGTGGTCTCGTGGCCCAACTGTTTCTTATGAATTACCTGCGTTAGAGAACGCGCGGCGGGTGGGAGCTGATTCAGTATTTTTTAAATTCAATATAGTTAGAGTGTGCTAGTTTTTGACTATAGGTCTATACTTTCCCGACGCTAAACAAGGCACCAATTTATGCTCCCGCTCCATTTCTTCAAGAACTCCTTGAGAAAATGGATCCTTTACCTCAGAAGGTAGGTAATTACTTTGATATCTCTTCAAACAAATCAAGGTATTTTTGATCATTAAGGCTCCCATAGAAGCGCCTCCAGCTTCTAATCCTGTAGCCATAGAGCTTGCACCACGTTTGCTTACAATCAGACGGAAGAAGATGAAAAAACATAAAAGAAGAAAACGCTACGATCGGGATTTCTTCAAATACCAAAAATACCACAAAGAAAAGAAGTTACGGGTAGGTAAGCGGTTTTCTACGACTTTGGGTAAATTTGCGTCTGTTCTTGTCATTAATTGTAGATTTAGAGGTTTTATCACTGCCGTGATGTATTTTTGCTTTACCTTTCAGGCTGAACGAGAATTTATCAAGCGTATGAAAGCTCACCTAGCAGAGTTGGAATCTTTCAAGCCTGAACAGTATGTGGAAGAAACGATTGCAGCGTGAGTCTTGCTCTGGTTCTCATGCTTTATCCTTTTTCTTATCGTTTATCGTACCATTCTCTGTCTTGATAATATCCTGCGAGTCAGGATATCGGATGCAAAGACGCTTTCTTAGTATGGTGTGTATTCGTAGGTGCGTATATGTTGTGTCAGTCTTTGGAATCTAGGAAATCAATAGGACAATTATGGCTGTTTTCAAAATAAAAGAGTGCATGGTGGATGTTGCATACTTTTTGCCTAGTTTGGAATGTTTGATGCTTGAGTTTCTTATGCTCCACTTGGTTGTTTCGTTTATTATGCGCGCCGGTTCCTTTACAACTTGAAACAAAGTGGAACAAATCATCATAAGTCATCATTTTCCAGTTTATTCGCAAATTGTGAGCTTTCTAGCTTCCCTTCTAAGATTTTATCCGGGGTTTATACGCCATTGTAAGTCTGCAACAGCGTAAGTTTCTTCGTTATCGATCTCCACAAATCATGGAAAAATTATGAGTTGGTAAAACCCTTGTTTCGTCCCAACTTTGCTTGATATGTATTTCCTTTTTCACTTTTGAACTTCTTTTCAATCATCTCAAAAGTTTTTAGTGCCAAGAAAGAATGGACCGACGAATTGGCGCCGACGGGTAGAAAGCGCTATCCACATTGGTCACGACTTATGTCACTAGAGGAACTCTATGGCATCCCTAAAAGCGACTACATCGATAAGAAAGCTGGTTTGGCAGGAGAGGAGGATGCAGAAAAGATCAAGCAACTCAAGGCTGAATATGATAATAAATATCGTGGAATTTGATAGTAAGTTGTTAGTTGTTATTTTTCATAGGTTCTGTAGAGTTTTTAATTGTTAAGTTTCAATAAATAGGTCATATTCTTTATTGCAAAGATTTGACTCGGAAGACCCATCGGAGGCTGAGATCTCTTTGTCCATCGCCATTGGTCTTGCCATCATTTGAGATCATTGCCTTAGTGCGCGACGATATTCCATCTTCGAAGCAAACTTTTTGGTCTCGCATGTTAGCAAGTGCTGTCCGAATTCCATTTGAATTGGAATTGTACGATGTTCACGCCTTCTCTGTTCTCATACCATATGATGAGGCTTTCACCTGTCCATGCCAAGTCGCGTAATGTGCCTGTAATTACAACTGCTGACTTATCTCATCATCTGAGGTGAACTCATACCTGAGTAGTCAAACTTTTGATAGTAATTTCCTAGCACCGACACACATCCAGAGACCAGATTATATCGAAGCGCGTAGAATTTCGACATTTGAAGGAAAGCGACCATCACATGGTCGTCTTGAACGGTCGTTGAGATGGACATGACATCGCCCTAATTCCAACTTGTGGTTAATGTTGAAAAATGATGCAACTTACTTGAATCCCCATCGGAATGTGAGCCACAGGAGTGTCGTATGTAAGATTGTATAGAATAATACTTCCGTGGGAGTCCAGTCCTACAAGAAAGTCGGCGGAGAAGGCAGTTTTAGGCGAAAATGTTATTGTGGCCACATTGGTGAGTAGTACATCTGTAAAATCAACCTGGTTTTGAATCTTGGGGTTGGAGTGCAGAAAATCTTTTTCATATGTTTTCCCTCACCAATGTGCTTTTTGGTGAGGGAAAACATATGAAAAAGATTTTCTGCACTTTTTCACCCTTTCCGCTTCAATTCAAAATTTTGCGTTTATCATTGGTATGGAGGGAAGAAAGAATCTGTAGTTGATCAACGTACCCTCCTCTACATCCTGGGCGTTGTAGCAGCTTTGAATGGGTCCAGAAAATGAACCATTACTTCTCATTTTATGGAGCTGTATGACGCAGTTTGAGCTGTTCAAGTGTGAAGCAGTTGTGAGTATCAGTGCGTCATTGTCGATAGAAACGCGAGATTCGACCAAATCGCCAAAGAACTGGAACACAAAAGAAACAGTTTTTCCCTGAGAAACAGCAGAATAATTATTTTCAAATGCCCTAGGGCAATTCCGATTGAGTTATCTCATAATTTTTCAAAACTTGAACCTTGAAATTGGTATTCCCCAAGAGCTAAGGCACCTAAAAAGCTCCGCAATCACATCTACCTTCTGAAAGGAACTCAGAACCGCTTAAGGCAGAATCAAAATTTTTTGCCCATATTTTTTTCGATGGAGCAATAAAAATGTCTGATGCGTAGGGTATAAGAGGGAGATGTAATATTTGCAGGAGTATTTTGGACGGAAATACGATTTTTCAAAGGTTTTGCCAGCACCTAGAACTTTTTAGCTTTTGGCTTCAATTCTCGTGTCTATGAAAATTGTGTCTGTGTTCAAAACATGTTTGAAGCTTGCTTTGCTTTATTGAGTATTCAAAAAGTACTTGGAAAGCAGGAAGACTATGCTCTAAAACGGTAAGAAATCTAAATTAAATAAAATTATGAGTTAACCGAACAAAATTCACAAATTGGGACTTTGACACTATGTATTGCTTATGGTTGGTAGTAACTGACGGTCTACCGCCTCTCTTTGCCTCCACATTTTCAGAAAGTGACCTTGAAGTAGGTCTCATTTCTGAAACGGGATTATTTGCCAAGCCACAGGTCCCTAACGGGCTGGGTGGGGGGGGGGGGGTTGGTAGGAAAATGAATGTTGCCGCTAGAATCCGCCTCTGTGGACTACTATTCCTTTCCCTTATGCTGCCGCATATTGTGTGAGGAATAGTAGTCCTCGGAGGGCATAACGGCGGTATACATTCCTCGGCCTCCTTCAAGGATCTGGCTTTCAGCTTAAGGGTTGGATTTATTTTTAGCATTTTTCTCGGTGTTACCAGGTGGAGGACGAATAGTGCCGTTAGGCACCGCTTCGGCGGACTACTGGTCCTCACACGTTATGCAGTACTATGTGCGGCACCTACTGATGATATTCCCCTGCCCGACTTACCTCATACGGTACTCCTTTCACGCGGCACATACTGTCTACTTTCGGACATTCTGAGCAGCAGTATATTGCTTGTGTCTGGTCACAGGAAAGAGTAGCATTGGAGTGCAGACATTCATCATCGACAGAGATCAGTGTGCAGCTTGTACAGTTTCCCGTGTCAAGGTAAAGTTCACCCAGGGTAACGTTGTCACTTAGCACTGCTAGTGTATCATTACCCCAGGTGAGTAACTGCTTTCGGTACTTGTATCCTCTCATGTCGGGCATCACACTGTCCACTTCACCTATGGCTACATAGCGAGACATTGTTCCAACGACATAACCAGTTGGGTAGGGTAAGGGCGTGGTCGTGACCGTTGTCGTGTGCGCTGCAGTGGGACTCACGACAATAGCGGTAAAGCCATGGTTGTCGTGATGACCCGGTAGTATGACGACGAATAGTATAGTTATGATTACAGCAGCAATGAATAATACGATCAGTAGGATAATAAGGATAATGAAGAGTTTTCGTCTGGAGATGTTACGATACCAAGAGCGCATCGTTCCTGAAATTAGAAGTGGTTCTAAAAATCTATAGTTGATTCGGTGACCGCACGGATTGCACATCACTGCGGAGCACGCGCCGCGAGCTAAAGCGCTTGCCCCAGTACCATTCCGCCGTTGTGCAAGTCGTGCTCTCGCGTCAATTCAGCCGCGCCGCGCGTGGACCGCAGCGTTTGAGCAGTCCATGCGGTCAACGAATCGACTATAGCTGCTATTCCATCAGGGCCCTTCAAACCCTCTTTTCAAATCATGAATTTCGTCCAAACTCTTTCTATTAACACTATTCAAATGCTCATTACAAATGTCGCACTCTTTTTGCATGAGGCTTTTCGTGGATTACGGTAGGTCTACGGTGGAGGCTCAAAATCATAGATGCGGCTGAACTTTGGTCTCAAGAAATTACTCGAATGCTGATTATAATGTGTGGATTTATTCTACTACATAAGGCCAATGTCTCAAAAATTGAAGGTTTTTTGGCTCGCTGATTTATATACGCTATCCCAGAATTCTTCAGAGCCATCGAATGTTCATCTGATGATGTAAAAACAAACCCTTTTTGACTTTTGGAGGTCAATATATTGGGAAACCGTACCATTAGAGTGTTTTTGCGATTTGCATATCATACGAGCTCTGCACAATGCTGCAGGCAAATCCGCCGTCTTGACCTCATACCGTATATCTACCGTAAATCCACAGAACGATTTTGCGGTCTGCTATGGTCTTACATGTGCTACATTGCAATCGGCATATCTAGTAATCCCCAAGCCGAATTTCAGAAAATCAATGGTTCTTGACTCCCAAAGTGTACCTATGCACCGTAACCATGTATGATGCTTCCAAGTGGAGAGAGCATAATAATTTTCTCTCCTTCCATATAACTACCATAACTTGAAAAGGCCTAATTATGCGAAAAGAGTGTGATATTTATGATCAGCATGGCAGATAGCACTTATAACCTTTGATTCAACTGGCTTGGCGGCTGGAAGGCAGGGCTTTGTAACCTAATTAAGGCCGCTCGCGTTCGCGACGCAGTCTGCGTCTTTCCCGTGCGCGTGCTCTCTGATCATTACCTAGCCTTGATTAGGTCACGAAACCCAGCTTTCCAGCCGCCAAGCCAGTTGAATCGTAAACTAAGTTCAAACAAAGTCCATGGGAACAGCACCAAATCTAACGCCCGTTCCTTACCTGCAAAGTTTCGATTTGAAGGGGTGGATGCATTGTCATCTGCTTTATCCCATGAAGCAATCCGCAAGAACTGATGGGAGTTCACGTTTGCTGACGGAAACCTGCCATTTCGGTCAAGCTCGTCGTTTCTCAGTACTTCAACATCCAATGAATCATGGCGCCTTGGAATTACACCATCCCTGCAATACTCACGAGTCTCAAATTATGCACATATGTGAATTTAAGCTGCAGCTCACTAGATGAAAATATAAGTCCTGTAAAAGAAAATATAAGTCCTGTAAAAATTATTGCTTGTTGTTTGACGTACATAAGCTTTAATTCAAGTGGATCGGCTGCTGAAGGCGGGGCTTCTTGACCTAATTAAGGCCGCTTGCCCCCGCTATGCATTCTGCGTCTCTCTCTCTCGCGCGCGCGAGAGAGATCATTCCCTTGTCTCAACTAGGTCACGACGCCCGCCTTCCAGCCGCCAATCCAGCTGAATCAAAGGGTATCCTGAGAGTTTTTAAGTATCATGATATTGTTGCAACATGAAGAAAAAGCTGTCAACAAAGTACCAAATTGATAGTAATTTTTATATCGTGTATCTTGGATAGGATAACGAAATCTGAAAAATTTTCTTTTTCTAGCCGCTTTTGCCAAAGTGGTATTACTTCTCGAAATCCATTTTGCATTTTTTTCCAGAGACATTATTTTCTATTAGTCAAAATTGCTAATTTGAGTTTTTGCAAATTGTTTTACCATATAATGACAAAGCAGTTTTTCTTTTTAGCTGGACAATCAATCTTGGACGCTGAAAAGCTTAAAGTATTAATATTTGAAGTTATAAAGGAGGAGTTATACAAAACAGTAATCAATATATGGTACAAAAATCTATGTTCGACAGTAATCGCTGGTGTGATCTTCGAATTTATGTTCAATAGGATTAGATACAAAAGCATAAGTGATTAGGACAGATATATTATAATATCGGATTGTGTGGTGCTCAAGAACAAGTTTTTCCGCGTAAAAAAAACTTCTATTAAATCGATAATCATATTTGTAAAGCTTTAAATGAAAGAAGAGTCACTTACATTGTAAAGCTTGTGGAAAACCGTGGAGTTATCAGGTATTGCTCAACACTGCGAAAGATACGATAAGGCAAATCAATTGCTGATTCAAAAATCTGCGATGCTATCATCTAGAAAAAAATTTTTTTCTCATTCAGTGGAAATATGTCGATAGTTGTTGATGGACGCTATTGTTACCTTGTGCCAGTGGTCATGCAAAGCAAAATTACTTGTTTAGAAAAGTATGTTGGCCTGTGGCATAACTGAGTGTGCTAGGTTCTTTTTTATTATTATTTATTACATAGGCTACCCTATGTTGACAAAACAGCAATATCAACAAAAAAAAAGAACAAAACAGCAATATCAACAAAATATTCGAATGACAATGAACCAAAAGTGTTAGTAACAATAACATATCAGAACATCCTACTGCAGATTGATGGAGAAAGTAGATAGTTCTTCAGGACTGCTTTGAACTGTGAAAGCTTATAATGGAGCATTCCCTTCCTCATTAGTTTATCAAGATCACTGCATACTCTATTAACAAAAAACCTTCTCCTCACATTCCTTCTCGCTCTAGGCACCACTATCTTCATTGGCCCTCCTCTCGTTCTTGAGCGCCTCAATTGGAAAAAGTCCGAGGGATTGACCTGATACTCTTTAAACAAGATTTTGTGTGCTGTAATAAGGTCAAATACCCTTCTCCTGAAAGCTAAACTATTTAATCCAAAGTTTTTATTACGCCGATTGCCATCAACTATTTCATCATAGTCAAGCCCTTTGGTTCGGATCCATAGTTTTCTAGTAAAACTATTCTGCACTTTCTCAAGGGTCCTTATAGAGCTGACTTTCGTGGGATTGAATACTACCGTGCCGTACTCAAGTAGAGGTCTAATGTAGACTTTATAAGCTCTGATAAGGAGGGCTGGATCACTACTTGATAAAGCACGGAATAAGTTGTGTACGGCTGCATTGCCCTTCGCAGCAATAGTTTCACAATGTTTATCAAAGCTGAGATCGCTACAGACCAGAAAGCCGAGATCTCGAATCTCATCAACGTACTCCAGAATTTCTCCTTCTATTTGATACTGATAGTCCAAATCTCCAGGTCCAATGTGAAGAACTTTTGTTTTTTCACGAGAGATTGGCAAGTTCCATGTTTTCGACCATTCAAAAACGATTTTTAGAGCTTCTTGCAGCGTAGCCTTATCTGCCATTGTTGTGATTGTTTTATAGATTTTGAAATCATCAGCAAAACTACAACAGGACACTCCTGCTCTGGAAACAAGAGCAGGAAGTTCATGAGTATAGATGTTAAAGAGTATTGGAGATAGTACGCCTCCCTGCGGTACGCCACTAGACATCATTCTGAAGCGAGAGAACGTCTTATTAACGTGAACCGAAAATTTGCGATTGGATAAAAAAGCGGAGATCCAGGAAACAAAAATAGGATGGATACCAACTTGTTTGAGTTTGATTGCTTTTTCATGGTCTTTTGCAAGGAAATTGCTAAGGTCGACCAACTTCTGCCCTTCAATTTGAATAGAGAAGTTTCCTGAGAAATTCCATTCTGGACAGCTCAAAATTTGTTTTTGTGAAATGTATTTTAAAGTTTGTCCACAAGTTTTGCACTAAAAAGTTAAGCATAAAAGTTTCGGTGATGTAGTAAAAGGTTTCAAATTGTATTGTATATATCCATTTCAAACTAATGTTGCAATCTTTTATATATGTTGGAGCTATCCGAGTTATAACGTCGGAAAAAAATTCGACACTTTTTGTAAAGACAGTATGAAGTCTATCTATCCAAAAGTAGCTCATTAGACTACAGTCAAATTCAGGACAAAATCTAATCAGACCTTTCAGCATTGTAGCAGCCAAAATCAAAAAAAAAACGCAATTGTGAAATTTCTTTTATTTGGCTTGTGGCTGCTGAAGCTTTTTGGAGTTGTGCACACCCCAATATTTAGGTTATAGAGGAAGTTTAGGCGGATAATCTCCAAAAGTTCAAACATTTTTACAGGAGCGATTTGTGCCTGATGTTTTTTCATTTGTTTAAGTAATAAGTGCTAAAAGTACAACCAGTGGAAACAATGCGAAAAGGAGGTTCTGCTAAGCTCCCAAACTGGAATTCCTGATGTGAGCTGACAAAGGTAATGCTCTGTATCTGCAAAGAGAGATAGCTAGCTCACTTTTGGAGCAAATTAAGTTTGAAAATGAACAGGACAAATTGACATGCTTATTACGAAGACTCATTATGCTCGGAAGGAATTTTTTTCACAGGGTGTCCCGAAAGTCTTTGAGCCTAACTTCTTAACACGTTGACGACAGTGCCGCGCAATGGTGCGCGGCGGCCTCAAATTCAATACTATCTCTCCAATCCTCTCAGTTTTTGTTCATATAATCAACATAGGCTCAGATGTACTTCATGTATTAACCCCGCCTTTTTTGGCAAACTGCGCCCACTTTTATGCCTCTCACAAGGATCCTTTTCAAAAAGCATGGATGAGGCTATAGATGAACGCAAAGACTTCAAGCAGTTTCTAGCCAGGCCCCGCCCACCGTCAGGCAAGCTCCGCCCCCTGAGTGGCAAGCTCCGCCCACTTCTCAAAAATGGCGGAAATCGCATAAATTCTTGAAATTTGGGTAATTTCCGACATTTCTGGTCGAGTGGGCGGAGCTTGCCAGAGGGGGCGGGGCTTGCACATTTTGTACTTCGTGCATGGATGCATGCATACATACATGGGCCACGCGTAGGGATGCATGGAAACGTCTCGTCCACAGGGACAGACCGCAAAAAAATGGCTCGTCGTCAACGTGTTAACATAGTAACTTTGTTAGTATTCCTCGCTTTTCAGTCAAAATTTGCGTATGAGTGCTTCGTCTACTCTTCAGTACTCCTCAAGAAAATCATACCGTTTGCGCTGTACATTCTCAAAATATTATTTCTGGAGCAAACAATGCTACGATTCGAGGACGACATGTTAACGTACCCTTTACTCAAACATTCATAGCTCTTCTACCTTCGAAGCTCTTGCGGAATCTCAAGTCGCATATTGTAGCGTTAGCTTCACTCTACGTTTACAGTGCAAAACTAATTTGTAGTTTCTTTTCAATAATGCAGGATTAAAATACAAACACTCAAAGGAGTGTCATGTCAATAAGAAGAAAAAGTTCTCGGAAACAAAAATCCGAGAAAGCTGAAAACTCCAACACCAACTCAGTTAAATTTCACTTCTAGCTGTAACCTCTGCCTTTTTTTAGTGAAACATCATTTTAAAGTCATTCCATGCGCACCAAAATTGCTGTTTTCTTGATGTTCTCAAAAACTTGATTGCTACATTTTGACACTTTTGTTAGATCTCGCAGACGTGCTTCTCAGATCAAGGTGCTTTTAATCGCCGGCTCAAAAGCCTTTGACTTTTCTTTGTGATCAGTCATGGAAAACAAGGCTTGCTCAGTTCCACACTAAATTTTGGGCAGTCTGGAACGCTTGTTTCAGAAGCTGTGAAACATTCTCAATGCCAAGTATCTGTCTGCCGCGGTGCATGCGTTCCGCAAGAGTGTGAGGGCTTGGGTGAAGGGCCACCTGCCCCAAATAAGGGTTTTTCAAAAACTGGGTGTACCTTATCAATCTGTAGGTTCATCACAAGATTTCTGCTAAATTTCATGTGACAATGTTGCTTCGTAAGTTGCAGCTGAGGAGATAAAGACTTTTGGGACACCCTGTAATTATAGGTGGTATAGGTGTTGGTGAGTCAATACTTCATTATGCTTGTATATTGCATAATAATGGGGTTATCAGACATACTGTGCTTGTAAAGAGATATTTCGTCCTTTGTGGCCTTATCTGAACACTGTAGCTTGAACATGTATTATCAGCGTGAAATTGAAACACAGGACTGGAAGCCATCTTTTAATAATTTGTTCAGTACTTGCTTGTTATTTGATTTTTGTTGTCGGGACTTCAAAGCTGGGAATCGGATGATATGTGTAGCATAATAAAGAAGAAGTTCCCATCTTCCACTTACAAACCAATGTTTTTCAGTTGTAACAAAAAAATAGTTCATGCATAAATAACAACTTCAAGAAACCCATAATCCATACAGGCTATACAAATAAAATGTCGAAAAAAATGTCACAGTTTAATCCTCGTCTCCGAGTCTTCCCGAAATAAAATATAGCATGTATACAAAATTGAGCATAACCGAATACCAAAGTAACACAGCACTAGTACTAGCTTCGTCTTCTCCGCAATCTTTACTTGCGCGAATATCGTGGCGCCGGTGGTGCCAACTGTTCGTAGTTGGAGGGGTTGTACACTTTGGGCGTAGATGCGTCCCATGTTCGACCGACGGGATTCGCACTGTATGAACTACCGACGATCTGGACATTGTACCCCTGAAACCGAAAATTATATCTTGATTGGCCGAAATATACATATAGCTCATAAAAATAAACAATAACTGAGAAGTTATATAGTTGCATGGATATCATTGCGACCAATGAATTAGCAGACGAGAACTGGTCCCCGAAGAAAGCTCACTTTGCAAGAGTAAACTGGGCTCTGCTAGTTGCCCTTATCGAGTTTGTAGTGTTAAAAAGGTAAAATTTGGCCAGGTTCTAAGCAATGATAAAACGAAAAACTGGTCCCCAAAAAAAGTTTTCTCAGAGGAGGACATTATTCCCGCTTCTCAAGTTTTTATGTGGTTCTGAAAAGGCAAAATGTTCAACAAATGTAAGCCCCGATGAAAACGAGAACTGGTCCCCCGAAGAAAGTAAACTTGTGTTGTTGTAGTCGTAGTGATGAAGAAGCATAGTAGGTTGGCTGAGTTAGGTTATAAAAATCACGAGAATTGGTCCCCAAAAATTCGCTCAAAAAAGTGAACAATTTTTCACTTATTGATTTTTTGGAAGTGTACTCTCAGAAAAAAAAATTTCCAGATGAGTTGAGCTACTATGATAAAAACGAGAACTAGTCCCCATAAAATGGGCGAGCATTAGTTTTCGTTGTCTGAACTGGAAAGTTGAAAAGACATGGTATTTAGCTGACTTGAGTTATAGTAATAACGAGAACTGGTCCCCAAAGAAACTGATCTTGAAAGAGTGAACTAGACTACACTAGTTGTTTTCAAAAATAGCGTTTGAAAGACATAGCATCTTACCCGAGTTAAGACCTAATAAAACGAGGGCTGGTCCCCAAATCATAACAAAGCTTGTTCTCCGCTGATTTCAACAAAAATGTCGCTCTTGAGTAAAAAATGAACAAACCTGTTTGGTTCGAATCGTTTTTGGTTGAAATGGTGCGATTGACTCGTGCACGGACAATGTAGGCATGGTTCCGAACTGATTTCCCGCAATGTTCCCCACGGGTTTACGTCGCAATTGCGGAATGACAGGCTCAACGGGCTCGTCATCGTAGATGCTCACAACGTGCGGGTGATAGGGCACACGAGCTGCTTGAACCTGAAGCTGATGCGGTAACGGCACGTCCACGTACAAGCGTGAATCCTGGGTTGTCGGCGCAGGTGTAGCCGAAGTGGTGGTGGCGGTGGTAGTGGTAGTTGTCGCTGGTGTTGTAGTGGTAGTTGTCCTTGTGGTAGTTGTTGCTTTAGTCGTAGTAGTCGCTTTTGTTGTAGTTGTCGCCTTGGTGGTAGTGGTCGGCTTTCTGGTAGTGGTGGTGGTAGTGGAGGTGGTAGTAGTTGGCGCAGGTCTTGGTTTTATGGCGCGAGTTGTTGCTGGTCTAGAGGGGCTTGATGGGATGAGACTCTTAGCTTCGTATGTTACAGAAGAAGGTGGTTGCGGCGCTGTATCCTCGTAAGAAGCTCGGATGGGCGAAGGTGATGGCGCAGTCTCTTCGTAAGAAGACGAACGGTAGCTTCCACTTTCGGTCTGGTAAGCCTTCGATGCCGATGCAGGTGGCGCCGGTTCCTCTCCGTAAGAGTCGTACAAGTGTTGGGTAGACGAAGAACGAGTTGGAGAATCTCCGTAGGTTTGACTCCTTCGGTCCCCGTAACCCTTACTTACAGGTGCGGGAGGAAGTGGTGATTCCTCGTAAGAAGACGATCTGTATGTAGGTGGTGGTAAGATGGGTGCAGATTCTTCACCGTAACCCAAAGACGGACTGGCGGTTACTTGGCGCTGGTTAGCGTATGACGGAGGTTGCTGAGCCGGCGAGTGAGGTGTGTGCGCTGGCTTTTCGATAACTGGACAGTGTTTGCAGCTTCCTAAACATATTTGTACTAGCTCATCTCAAGACCGCTTGGGAAAAATGTGACATTCATCTCATTTCAGTTCAGGCTTGACCAGCAAAAATTCAGCAGGACGCAAAAGTTTGGCAGAAGTTAAACTTGCCAAAATGCTGCCAAACTTCCGCAGATGTTACAGTATTGCTAGACAAAAGAAGTTTAATGACAAGATGATATTCTGTTTCATTTCAGTTCATACTCAGTGCAGAAAATCCACGAGCGCGAGAGCGAATAGTGCCAAAGTTCCGCGAAAATTAGATTTTGTCAAAATGTTGCCAAAGTTCCGCAAGTGTTACATTATCGCTGGGCAAAAAAAAAGATGAATTTGATGAATTTCCACGATGAATTTCTAGCTCATTTCATTTCATGCTTAGCAAGTGGACAATCAGCAAGATGAGCGAAAAGTGCCAAAGGTCCGCAAAATCAGATTCCATCAAAATTCCCCAAAGTTCCAGAAGTGCTACAAGGTCAGTAGGAAAAAAAAGAGATATGATGACATTTTATTTTATCTCGATACGCTTACCCAGCGGAAATCTCAGTAAGGGCAAAAGTGCAAAAGTTCTGCAGGAATTAGACTTGTCAAAATGCTGCCAAGGTTTTGCAAGTATCACAAAGTCGCTAGGAAAGGAGGAGATGTGATGACAGCCTTCAGAAATTTTGAAAGGACAAGCGAAAAATGCAGTATCGCGGGTATCAAATTTTGTTAAAGTGCTGCCAAAGTTCCGCAGACGTTAGATTTTGTGAGCACGCTGTCAGAAATAGGATTTGGAAGTTGCGCGGAAATTTGATGTAGCATATCTAGGAAGAGGCGAAATCTTTCATTACAAGACTTGCTCGAAGCGAGTACTTTTCTAAGGGTGCTTCCCGAGGCCGAGTTTCCCGGACAATAGGTGAACTTGAGTAAAGCTATTAGAACCATGAACGTACCCTGATTTCCCACTGGTCCAGGCGCTCCCGGTGGTCCAGGTGGTCCAAGTGCACCGCTGCTACCTCTGTCTCCTTGAAGACCGCGAATACCACGTGGACCAATTACCCCTGGATGACCGTCACTAAAACGACAAGACAATGACTTTGAAGGTTCTAAAACGATTAGTGTGCAACGAGACACAAAGGAAAAAGACCAAAGTGAATGAATGTGTTTACGTTGCTGCGGTGGGGTTATAACGATGTGGTATCAACATAGGGTCAAGATTGATGAAGAAAGGTCATTTGTTCTGACAGATGATATGTGGGATGAAGGAAGAAAAAGTGGCAAGTGTTCATTCTGCACGGCCAGGCGGAAGAGAACTGCCCTCTGATTGTGAGATATGAAAAAAGCAACATGAAAAAGTCCGCACATTGACCTTTTACCGTACCCTGATTGATCATTTTTGACTTTTTGAAGTTCACTTCATTAACTGAAGAAATCATGAGGTTCACATACAATCACTCAAAATTTATGACAGAGAAATAATCCCAGAAAGAAAATATTTTCAGCCATAAATTCATTTGAAAGGGAGAAGGAGGAAGAGGTGAGAGAGGGGGGGGGGGCGAGAGATTATCCAGTTTTGTCTGGTATAGGCGTTTTGCCTGGTATGGGCCATAACCCCAGTACAAATGAGTTTTATCGTTAGAATTTCAAACTCATCAATTAGAAATAGTTCAAACACTTTACCAGTGTTCCCCACGGAAAATCATTTCTCGAATTCAAAAATAATCAGATTAGAATTTTTTTGAATCAAAATATAGCGACCTTCACGTAGAATTTGAAGACTTATAAGTACTTATATGTTTGGAACTAATTGCACTATTTTTCCCAAAACAAACCCAGGGAAGGGGGGAGGGGGAGAGAGAGGGAGGGTTCGTGGTCATGTTGGTCTAGAGTTAAAGTTGTGAAAATCAGCTACACAGCGAGGAAATTATTATTTTTTTCATTCTGTAGATAAAGCTACTTTTCAAGTAATTTTCAAGTCGTTCCAAAAAATGATTTTGCCTGATTATTTCTACATTTTCGGTACTCGCAAAATTTTGCATTCAAGAACTATTAGAATGATAGATGAATGTTACAATAATCAAACAATGTCCGACCGTGATCTTACAGCTGCCTAGTCAAGCGAAATCGCCAAGGTCGTACTTCAATCAAGTTTTGCGAACAGGTGCCATAGAAGGAGTAAGATGGAAAGATTTGGACCTTGGAAATTTTATAAAAACCTTGGGCCAATCTTTGTGCGAGTACTATGGAAAGTTCAACAAAATTTGGCTTAAGCACTTTGACGCGAACAGTGTTTATTTAGCACTTGTCTCGCTTTTTTCCTCGAGCGCAAGACGAACTTTAGGAAAAAATAAGAAGAATTTTGAACAAAATTATCCATTAATAAAAGACTCGTGGACGCTTTACGTATGTTTTAAACGAGTTAAAACATGTAGTTAACAAATTTGTCCATGTCATTTACCTAAAGATTATCTACCTCAAAAGCAGGTAAGAACAAGTTCAAACTTGTTCAGACAAAGTATGCAAAGCGGTATCGAGACTCGTAGTCTTAAAATAGCTGATAGGTTCCCTTAACTTGGTGCATCCCCCAGAATTGCTTCCATATAAAAAATCAACGTGGCTGTCTTTCGGACATTTTAACATGTCAACATCGAATAAGCCCTTGAAATTGCTGGAATTAACGTGTTAAGACGATCGAAAGGCAGCCACGTTGATGGTTCATATGGGAAAATTTCTGGGGAACGCACGATATAACAAAAAACTAGGGCTAAAAAAACCAAAATTTCGATGAAAATCTAGAACAATGAAATTTCTTATTTGACCAAACGAAAAACATCTCATCCAAAGAACAGAGAGTCAATATTGACATGATCGCTGTAAAGCCGAGGAAGTAACTACGTGACTGCACTACTCTGTGCCATTGGGCGCAAAAAGTGATTGACCGTCAACAAACGAACTGGTTGAAAAACACCACCGAAATAAAAAAACCAATTGTGCCATTTATCGATGGGTGAACGCTTCATAGTAATAGTAATGTTGACTGTAAAAGAACGCAACCTGAAGCGCACAATGCTTTTGCGAAAACTTATTATATAGTAAGAGAAACAGGAATTTTTTGGATTCTCATTTTTTAAATTTTTCATTTGGTCGAGAAAGAATTCTTCTCCGAGTATAATTGACGACGAAAAAACCAAAGTGTCTCTGCCAAAATCTATAGTTATGCCGGTAATGAAACGGAAATTTTTTCGTTACATATTCTTTCCGATCTGGCTAAGAAAGAACTTTCCCCCGAATATGACTGGCGATGCAAACTGAGGCACTGTAAAAAAAAAACGTTGGCTCCGCCAACATTGATAATTATACAGGGTGTCCGTAAAGTATGTATACACTGTTTGATTGTTGATATCTCTTTTCCCAAGAAGTCTTTTGCCCTGCTTCAGGAACCGTTCTGTAGAGCTGGCTTCAACTTAGATTTACAGTATGAAGCGAATTACCCATCTCGCTTCATCACTGTAGGACTACGGTGGTAACTTTAAAGAGGGTTTTGAGCCATGAAAGGCCATATTTTGCCTCAGAAAGGAAACAAAACAGCCTGAAAACTTTTACACTAAGCTAATTAGAGTTGCTGATTCTAACTGTAAAGTCCACAACTTGTTATGATGCTTCATTGAAGAGTTATGCCAGGTAAGAGGTAGCGGCCTTTTTTTCAATGTTCCTAAAAAGTGCAGTTACACCATTTAGAAAGTCTGGCAATCTTGTGAATAGTTAAGTATTGAACTCAGCGTCCATAAAAACCCTATTGCACAAGTTTTCACATTTTTTTTGAAAAATATTGAAACGACAGCTTTTTTCACGTTGACACCATATGTTTCAAGTTTCTACCGTAATCCTACAGTAATGAAGAGGGATGGGTGAATTGTTCTATACTGCAAATCTAAGTTGAAGCCAGCTCTACAAAATGCACCTGAAGCAAGGCATAAGACTTCTTGGGAAAAAAGATATTCACGATCAAACAGTGTATACATACTTTACGGACACCCTGTATAGGTAATGAAACAGGAAATTTTTTGGTTACTTTTTTATTCTTGATCTGAGCAAACGAAAACTTCCGTGGGATATGATCAATGCGGTGAAATGAATGCCGTGAAAGAACTCGTGAAATTAACTTTGACTTTGCGAATGTTGATAGTTATACTAGCATTGAAATGGGAACTTCTTAGTTGATTTTTTTGGTCTTTTTAACCTAGGCAAACGGGAATTTATTTAAATAAATCAATGATGCTAGAAATCGAATGATGATGCTCGCGGAAACTAGATATCAACAGCAAATTAAATCTCAATTTTTCAAAGCGTTATAATTTCTGTGCGCCCTGTGTACTCTATGTCAAAAATATTTATGATTTTGAAAAGTGCATATCTATTGTAAAAACGCCCTTTCCGCACCTAAGCGACAACACAAAAGGTTGGAGCGATTATTTTGAAATGATGTGAAGTCTGCAGGCGCGCCTTGAAACGGGAAATTTTTCGAATTTTGAAATGGAAAGATTTTTCTTGAATATTCATAAATAAATGCTTTTTCAGAATGATACAAATCGTGGGATAGAATACTAAATAATTTCTTAAGATGGCATAATAATTTGTCATATTGACAGCATGATAGATGATTCTGATTTCCATAAATTTTCACAGAAAATCAGTTTCTTTATCTTCAAACAATTTCTACGCTTTTTGAACCTTTACCAGAGCTGATGTCAAAACCTCTTGGAATTCTTCAGATAGCACAGTATTTACAGAAAGTGAAGATGAAATTATATGAGCTGTAGCTGAACAAAAACGAAAATAAAAATGCGAATTATGTGGTATAAAATGGAATATATTAGAAAACATTTGAGAAAAATTATATAATGATTATGGGCTGTAAAATACAGAATGAAATGTATCTTGGTATGCTTAGTAAGCGCTATGCGTTCTTCTCTCACTACCTATAAAGTAAGTTGAGATGGGTGCTGAACTGGTATTTGGAGAGTTTGGACCAGTTCGGTACACGGAGATGAATTTTGAAGAAGTTGAAGTCATAAAGTTTTTACAACTTTTATGAAGCCGTAAAGTTGTTACAACCTGTATGCGACTGTAGTATGTTTGGAGAGGGAGGAGCGAAAGAGGGGAAGGAGAATGAGGGGGGGGAAGGAAAGTAAAAAGAACATGGAGAGAAGATTACTAATTTCCGAAAAAGACAAGCAATGCATGCCAGACATTTGGATATTCTGAAATACAGATACATAAACTAAAAAAAGAAGCGTTTACTTTTCGAAATGGGCGAGAAAATTCAAAAATTATCTCTATTCTGTACTTGGCAAAAAATCTCAGTAATCTTTTTTTATGTTATAAATTTCAAGAGCTGTATAAAAGCCACATATGTCTGGGAAGGTTTTCCAAATTTTTTGCGAATTTAAAGTTGATATTGAGGTTACTGGGAATTACAGGTTAAAAAGAGATGGTATAACAGGAAATATCCGACGAAATATGCTGATGTTCAAAGTGATTTTTTTTCACGTGGAGAAGAGGAAGGAGCGGGGGGGGGGGGGGGAAGGGGGTGTATGTCAAGAGGCGCGATTTTTATTGCCAGCTGGACACCAAATAGCAAATAATAAGTGTTTTGCAACTTTCTAAAATTATATGAAATTTGGAAGAAGATATATTAGATAGTTGCATGAGTTGTTCAATCTTGATGCTCTAGAAAAAATTTGAAAAAGCAATTTTGAAGGTCAAAAACTCGTGAAAATGCAATTCAGAACAAATTTGTAAATATTTCAGTCCGATTTATAGCAAAAACCACGAAACTCAGCAAATGGTGAGCTCAGACGGATAGTAAGCTAATGCACTTTATCCGGTAATTTTTGAAGACTCGCATAGCACTAAACTGGAGTTTTGAGTTGGTGACAGCCAGAGAAATCGCGCCTCTTGACCGTCTCCCGGGGGAAGGAGCTATGAACGATATAATACGCCACAGCGGACCTTTGGTACAAAAGCAACATCGTTAACTGGTACCTCTGACAATGTCGAAAGAATAGTGGGCTGAGCGCACTTGGCAAGATTACGAGGGTTGCAAATAAATGTATAGAATGAGCAGTGGTGTTCTGAGAAATTTCTTGAGAGGGGGGGAGGTGGGGGAATAGAAAATTTTTCGGGGGAGCAAAGAAATTTTTGCGTAGGTGATCCATAACCCCGGAATTTTTTTAGGAGAAGAGGAGACGTTTCAACTTTTTTTCTACAGCTTAATTTAAATTTTCCAATTTTCAAA